GAGCCGATCGGCATCTCGCCCGCTGTGAAGATGCGGTCCGGATTGCGGGGGGGAGTCACTGCGTCCTTCTTCTGCTCGACCGGGGGGCCGTGCGTCGGATAGCCTCCCAGCGCTGGTGACCTCGTCGGCTGTGGCGCCCCCGCGTTGGCTGCCGCCTGCTCGTGCAGCATCGCCTGGGAGGCCATCGCCGCCGGCGCACTCGTCCCGTCGAGAGGTGATGTCCCAATGTAGGCCCACGCTGATGGAGCCACTCCTGGCGGCGCCCCCGCTGCGAGAGGTGGTAGGCTCTGAGGCTGTAACTCGGTCATCTGCTGGCCCAGTGACGAAGGATGCCCCGACGGCACTGGCCGTTGTGGAACCTCCCGAGCCCGCGGTGCCCTGGCCTCCGCCTTGGGGGGAGAGTCGAATGCAGCGGCTGCGACCTTGACCTGGTCCGCCTTGCTGCTCGAGCTGCCCTGCGCTATGGCCCTGATCATTCGGCTGGCCTCCTGCGCCTGTCCCTGGGCTGTCGCGATCGCCGCCATCTGCTCTTTTACGGCGGTCGTGACCCGCTCGAGCGCCTCCTGCTGCGACGCCTGCGAGGCCATCACCCCCTGGATCATGGCCTTCATCTCCTGAAATTGGCTCTCGACCATACCCTTCATGTCCCTATCGGTCTTGGCCTGGTACTCGCGCATCTCCTCGAGTGGGTCGGAGGCGGTGTCCATGGCCTCCGTGTCGCTCTCTGGCCTGCGCTTCGCTGAGGACGCCCGGCGAGCTGCTGCTGCTGCGGACCACTGTTCCGCCTGATCCTTCTGCAGCGCCTCGGTGACCTTCGCCGCGTCCTCCGCCACTCGCTGATACGCCGGCTGCCGAGCCGTCATGAATGAGCCGCCCGCCAGACCTCCGGCCATCATGCCCGGGTGAAGAGGTGACGGAGCCCTCTCGGCTCCAGGAGGTGGCTTGGGCACGCATATCAAGGCCTGCCACTGTGGCTCGGCGGTCGCGCCCTGAGCCAGACCTTGTCCACGCGGCGTGCACGCGGCGTCCTTCTTCTTGCACAGGCACATCTTCTCCTTTTTTCACGGCCCCCTTTGTCGGCCTCAGCTCCCAATGCCCGACCCTCATCGTGCACCCGCTGCATGCGAACCACTTCCCCCACGAATTGGCTCCGTAGTTCACGAGCGTCGGTGGGTGCCAACACGTCTCGTACGCCTCCGAGAGGCGACGAAGAGACTTGGGCAGGTTGGTCGGCCAGAAGCGCCTGGCGCGGCACATACTCCCGAACTCTTCGGCCAGACGCGCCGACCAATAGCACCCACCCGGCCAAGCAGGACCATCCCTTCTCGCCCTTGTTGAGGTTCTCCGGGACGTAGGTCCCGGTGGCCCCGTAGACCCATGCTGAGTCCGTCTGGCTCTGCATGCGATCCGCCATCGTACGTGGCCGCTCCTGAGCTCCACGACGCCCCCTCTGGCCTGCCACGCGGGTCGTCGAAGCGGCTGGCGGCATCGCGATCTGCTCTCCAATCGGCCTCTGAGTTGTCGAGGCTGTTGCCGAATTGCTGCGAGCTGAATGACTCGAGCCCAAGTGCTGCGAGGAAGGCGGACGAAGTCGAGGCTGGCATCGTGGCTCACGTCGGCCACCTCCGACCCCGCGCTGTCGACCCCCCCCCTGGTTCTGAAGCGTCTCGACCTGGAACTCAAAGCCCTGGCGAGTCCCGAAGTACACGTACTGCTCAGCGCGGAGTCGGAGGTGCCGCCCGACTCCAGGCCCCTTAGTGGACCGGTTCTGGAACCTGAGTTGTCCGGCCCAACTAAGGCCCCGGCGTGCGCCCCGACTACATCTGACCTAACATTCTACCAGAAAAAGGTCCCGGACCCCCTCGGACGCTCTTCCGTCCCCCTCGGACTCCCCCAGCAGCTTCCGTCGTACAGCCCCCCCAGGCCAGTGCTGACAAAGGACGCGATGATGTACTTCCCCTTGGCTTGAAACGCATCCTTCGGCAGCTGAGGGTGCAACCTAAATTTCGGAGGCTGGAGCTTTAAAGTCTTTGGCGGGAACCGAAAACTTATCCACCTGTATGGTGCGGTGGGCCGACGGGGGCCCAGTCAGAGGCGTCGTGGCCCCCAACTTCGTAAAAGTCAGAGCTTTGTTCGGAAGATCTACAATTCCACCTAGCATTTCTTGAAATCCTATCGGCAAAAGGGGTGGGGCGTCCTGGTCCAGAACGTCCAGCTCCAGCACCCCCATGCTACCCTCAATGCCTACAGGGATCAGAGCGGTGTGGATGACCTTTACCCCCCCACCTACTCCGCTCGCGCTTGGGTTCCTGGGTGGGGCCCTTGGGACGGCGAACCCCATTGAGGCCCAGTGCCCCTCGATCTTCTGCAAAGCTTGCTCTCCTACGAGGCCCTGACCGGCCGCGGTGTCGACCACCATGGCCCCGGGACCTACGGCGAGCAGGACAACTGCGTAGGTTGGAGGAGGAGGCTCGTCAAAGCACCGGGAGGTGGAGTGATCTAAAGCATTCACGCACAGGAAAGTCATGCCCGTGACAGGGGACCCCTTTTCGTCCTTGGTCCCTGCGCCCTGCTTCTGTGGGCACTCTCGAGACCAGTGTCCCTTCTGATGACAGACGCGGCATCTCGTGCGCTTAATTAATTCAGCAAGCGGATGGCGGCTCTCCCGCGCTCTGAACGCGCCGCCTGCTGCCCTGTGGCCGGGCCTGCGAGCCTTCTCGCGCCCATCACTGCCGCGGCCCTGGCCAGACCTATCGTAGAACTTCCGGTCGGTCTTCAGCTGTCTCTTCAAGTCGCGGTTCTGCCTCCATGTCTTGCGGCGCTCCTGGTTGATGGCGGCCAGCGCTGCCGGCGCGTCGTCCTCCCCGACGTCGGCCGACTCCAGGATCGCCCAGACCTCTGCTTCCCCGTCTGAGTCCGTGGAGGAGACATCCGAATAGTCGAGCAAGGACTCGTCGTCGTGCTCGACCTGATAGGTAGGCACCTGAGGTAGAAGTGCTTCTGAGCCCATAGTGGCGTAGGTCCTCCGTGCTTTGAGATGCTCTCGATGGGAGATGTCCATCTCCCGAATGGCCGAGAGAGCCGACTTGTAGTCCATCTGGTCCCTCATGAGCACCTTGACCATCTGCGCCGAGCGCTCGTCGAGAGAAACTCCTTCCTCCAGGAACATCAGTTTCCACTCATCTGGAAGCGGCAGCCCCTGAGTAGCTACCCTGTCGAAGGCCGTGTCCATACGTGCGCAATATTCGGTGAGATTCTCTCCCTGCTTGCGTGAATAATCCAGTAAGCACTCTCGAGCGACCTTCCGTCGCTCGTCGCCGTGTCTTTCACCAGACATCAATTCAAGGCGTTTGATAATGACATCGAAACCCCATGAGCTGCATAGCGTGTCGTCATCGAGGTCCTCGAGCTTGCGTTGAAGGTCTTGATCAAGAGAGCGGAAGATTCGATCAGCCTGCTTGTGGGAGGGAACGTCCGTCAGTGTTCTCCAACGCAGCACCGTGCGGCGCCACATGCGGTAGTCCCCCCAACCTCTCCATTTCTCGGGGTCGGCGAAGTCCTTGCCGGTGTTCGTGCTGGAGCGGTCGTCATCATGTCCGGAGTGGCGCTTATTGGGCTCCCACTTGCTGTCCTTGTAGCTGTCGCTCCATCTCCATCCGGATGACCAGTCGCCCCGATGCTCGTCTTTCCAAGGCCTGTCCCCGTAGCTCTCCCAGGTCGAAGCCGGAGTCCAGGTGGATCGCGAAGAAGCCCACTGCTGCTCGCCAGGCTTGTAGTCCAGCTCCTGCCATGTGCTTCTCGTCGCGCCCCAGCCACCCGAATGCCACTGCTCCGACCTGCCCTGGGACGTCTCGGTGGCGGACGCGGCCGCGCCACCACCGGACCATGTCCCGGCACTCGTCGACTCGTGCTCTGGCGGTGGTGCATGCCAGCCTGACCACGAGCGATCCTCGGCGCTTGACCACGGAGCACTTGAGCTCTGCCCGTGACCGCGCCGACGTCCACTGTCGTCGTCGTCGTCCCCATGTGGGTCACGCTGGTGACTCTGGGAACTGGCCGGCACCACGTCCAGTAGTAAAAGACGTGCCAACTTCTCTGCCTCATCTTGGTCGAGGTTGAGACCGTCATGCCTCATCAGTGTGTCAGTCACTGCCCGTACTGCGGAATGCTCCCCTCGTTCTTCTCGCTGTGTCTCTCGATTAGCACCTTGCTCCGCTGCTGCCGTCATTGGTCCGCGGACCGAGAGCTGCTCACAACTCCGCTACCACTGTCGCCCGACGGACGACAGCAGTGAAGCCAAAGTGTCGGATCTTTTCTCCAGCAAGAGAACCCTCGCACTCTCTTTTCAGTACACAGCTCCCAACGCTGTACAAACAAGGCACGGAACGGTATGGGAAAGGAAGAGGGGTAGGGTGGATATGGTATGAGTGATGAGGAATGAGTAGAAGTTGGGTCTTGAGCCAAAATGGTTACGACCCATGCTCGTGACCTTCAAGCTCAGGGAGTCTAGCAGGGGCATCGGCCTTGAAAACCACAGGCCTCTAGACTCAAATCACACACTGCGAGACCCAGGAGGGGGTGGGAGGGGGGGGCACGCATGCTGTTCGCCGTGGGTGGGCCACGGAAGTCGTGGAGGCCACAGGCCCAAAGGCACCGTGTTGCTCAGACGGCTGGCGGGGCATGACTGCTTTCGCGCATGCATCAGCTAGGGCCAGCGGAACCTCTGCATAGACAGCACTATTGATGGAGCTGGGGGGTCCGACGCGGGGGGTCGCCCTCCCCCTCTGCCCGACCTCCGCGAGCAGGCCGCGTTCAGCGCGATGACCACGGGCCGACAGAACGATGACCGCCACGGTGATGATCGCGCGATCGCCCGATCGTGTTGACGATCGCGCGACCACGCGACCGCCCGAGGATGTCGATCGCGCGACCACGCGAACGCTCGATCACCCTGATCGGTCACCGCCAGTCGCGTGACCAGCAGCCGCTCAGGTGCTGGCGCTGAGGTCCAGGGTCGCCACGAAGGCGTCGGACGCTTTCGATATCCTGCTGCTGCGGCAGCCGCTGCCGTGGATGCTGCTGCTGTGCCCCCCAAGTCGTCTTTGGCATCGTCACACTGCTGGCCCTGCTCCTGTTTATCATGATCCTGCTCCTCCACGTCCTCCTCCTGTTCCTCCTCCTCCTCCTCCTCCTCCTCCTCCTCCTCATCCTCCTCCTCTTACTCCTCTTCCTCCTGCTCCTGCTCCTGCTCCTCCTCCTCCTCCCTCGGCGTCCTGCCTGCCCCCTCCCGCCCCAGCTCCTCCCCCCGATGTTGCACGTGCGCAGTGTGCTCCTCCTGCTCCCCTCGCTCCCCCTATCCCTCCTCCAACTCCTCCTGATCTTCGTCTTTCGCCCGTCGTCCCCCTCTTCCCGACTCCGCCAGGAGTGCCTTGAAGGCACGGGGCGCTCCGTCGATGTCGTCGTGGGTTCTGCCCTCGACGTCGTCGTCGCCGTCGTGAGCGCCGTCGTCGATCCTCCCCCGAAAGCTCCGGCGTCGTGATTATGATCGCCACCAGCCTCGAATGTATCCCTATTCATAAGATGGGCGAGCAAACATCAAGGAAAGTACAAGGGATGTGCCATCAGAAGCTGAGGGAATCCTTAAGATCGGTGTCGAGGTGAGGTGATGCCAAACACAGGGATAGGGATTTGCTTCAATCTGGTAAGGTCGCAACGTAACCACCATTCGGGAGCGGCCAAGAGGGGGGTGTCCAAGAGGGGGGGGGTGCAAATCATGACCGGCGGCACGTGCGCGGCCCAGCGGGGGGGCCAGGGACGTAATGAAATAAGGAGAGGCGCCATAAAATCTGGGGAGATATCATGGCCCCCGCCATGATATCCCCCCCCCTAGTCATCACCCCCCTCTTTGCCGCCCCCCACCCATGGCGGCTTGGGCCTTTTCCCCGGGATTGGCTTCAGACCCCAAGCCGCTTCTCGACGGCCCCCGGGGCCCAGCGACGGGCTCGAGAAGCCGACGACTGCCGCAAACTTCCGCCGCGATTTTACCGCAGGGAGAGGAGGAGGAGGAGGAGGAGGAGGAGGAGGAGGAGGAGGAGGAGGAAAAGGATGATGATGATGATGATGATGATGATGATGATGATGATGATGATGATGAGGAGGAGGAGGAGGAGGAGGAGGAGGAGGAGGAGGAGGAGGAGGAGGAGGATGATGATGATGAGGAGGAGGAGGAGGAGGAGGAAGAGGAGGAGGAGGAGAGGAGGAGGAAGAGGAGGACGAGGAGAGGGGGGAGGAGGAGGAGGGAGGAAGAGGAGGAGGAAGGAGGAGGAGGAGGAGGAGGAGGAGGAGGAGGAGGAGGAAGAGGAGGAGGAGGAGGAGGAGGAGGAGGAGGAGGTGGAGGAGGAGGAGGAGGAAGAAGAGGGGGGGAGGAGGGGGAGGAGGAGGAGGAAGAGGAGGAGGAAGAGGAGGAGGAGGAGGAGGAAGAGGAGAAGGAGGAGGAGGGGCAACGCTCGGGGGGGACAGCTCATGGGGGCGGTGGGGGGAACGTCGACCCGGAATCGGCCATGCGTCGCCGATAGACCGGCGGCAAGCCCCCCGAAGGCAGGTCCGCATGGTCCTCGGCGGGGTGGGCCATCGGGACCCTACCAGCGATGAGCGGGGCATTGGCGGCCAATGCATCCCCACCTGCGCCGATCCCCCCCTAGCACTGCCCATTTGGCGTGACTTTCGGACCACACTTCGTGTCTCCATCGGACGTCCGGGACGACCAGGGAACCCCCAGAACGCAGCGTTCTCTGCCACGTGCAGTTGTCTGAAAGCGCCCCGAGGCTGGAAAACCTTCGGAGCCGACGCGAAAAACCCGAAAACCTCGAGCCTCGAGATAAGATGAAATAAAAGCATTGGCGGCTCATGTCTGCATGACCCTCTCTGCACGTAAAGAAAGAGCGGTCTAGTACTGCATGGGAATATGTGTCCGCTGCTCGCGGGCAACGACCATGGTCTGGACGCTCTGCGGGGAGAAGCTACTGGCCACGCGCGAGGACCTCTAACGGGGAGAAACCTAGAGGCTTCGCCGAAGCATTGCCACACCTGCAACGCACATGAGAGGCGACGAATGATACCCTCAAGATGCGTCAACTCCGCAACCCGATGCACCCGAGCCCAGCTGCATCAATGAACATGTCAGAACACATGGCTCCGAGAAATAAGGGGCGCCCAGCAGTCGCTGGCTGCCGCGGCCGTCTCTGCTCGGCAGGTGTGTGGCTGGATTGTCGCAACTGGTTGCAGCAACTGGCATGGAAAGATGCTGCGCTCCGTCGTCTGCCGCGGTGACCAAAGCCTGAGCATCATGCATTGGCATGGCGCGCGCCAGAGAGCTCAACTGCATCAGGGAACATGTCAATGCAAAGACCTCCGAGAAGGCGTTCAAACATGCCGGGGGCGCTCACGAAGGTCCCCGAGACGAGCCAAGAGGGTCCCCAATCGCCCGGCGATCGGTCCAAAACGCCTTCGCGCCCTCCAGGCCGCCCCGAAGGCCTCCAGGGCGCCCCGCTCCCGAGAGGGCCCAGAGAAAAAGGTCATTGATTTTATGTTTTCCTGGTTCGCATATGCAAAAGACTCGGGCGCTCTCGCCTCCCCCGCCCCCCGTCGCCCCAAGACGATGCAGGAGGCCCCTGGCTCCAAGAAGGCCCAGAATAGCCCGAGAGGACCCTGGGATAACCCAAAACGCCTCCAAGACGGCCCAAGAGGCCCCCAATGCGGCTCCAGGAGCGCGCCCAGACGGGGGGCCCGAACGGACATTTCAGGAGCTCCCAGGATGTCCCAAGAACCCCCCGAAAAAGTCCCGGGAGGCCCGCGAGAGGCCCCCGGGAAGCCCGAAGGCCCCCGAGAGGCTCCGTGGAGGCCCCCAAGAGGCCCCCAAGAGGCCCGAGAGTTTCTCCCCAAGGCCTCAGAGAGCCTCCCGAAGAGACCCCAGGAAGCATCCCTGAAGACTCTGACTAACGTCAGCGTCGTCGTCGTCTCCTCAATTGTCGGCGGCGCCGGTCGCAAGGCCTTCGCAGCGCGCGACTGCAGGGGCGGGGTGTAGAAGGCCGGGAGATCTGGCCAAACGGCGCAATCTTTCGGAGGACGGGGGCGTAGGCGCGCCGCTGCGACGCCCTCAGCCCAGGGTCCTGGAATTGGCCATCGCGAGCGATGTGGACGATTCGCTCGAAGCCTGACATATGCGTGAGCATTGCTCCTAGTCGCCCATCATCTCGTCAGCTTCGTCGTCGCTGATCTCCCGCGAATCTCCCCTTCCCCATGCCGGGGCGCCCCGCGAGCTCCTTCGCCGCCTTCGCCTCCCTCGCTAAGCCCCCCTTGGGCGCCCATGGTCTGTGCTCCCCCCCGATGGCAGGGGGTGCCTCGCGCGCTGCTTGATGCGCCGCCCCGATCGCGGTCTCGTTGAACCTGATGTTTGCCGTCTGGAGCTGCGCGCCCAGCATAAACTGGAGCTGGTACTTGGCGGCCCCCTCTTGCTCGCGCTTGTTGCGGCGCGTCGGGCGGGGGCGGCGTTGCCGAGCATCTCCCTGGAGCTGCGTCGAGCTGCGCCTCTCGCCTGCTACGTTCGCGCCCCAGTATACCTGCAGAGCCTGCTTGGCCGTCGGCGGCGTCCTGGCATGTTCGAGCAGCGCGCGCAGCGGCGCCGACCGCGCGCGCGCCCTCGGCGGGCCGCGCTCGCGGCCCCTGCCCGACACCCCCTGCAGCGCGCGCAGCGCTGCCTGCCTGTCCCCAAGAGCGCCAGCACCACGGGGCGGTCTGGTGGCAGAAGAAAACAGCTGAGGCAAGCGCCAAAGAGGTCGGCCATGTCTCTGCCGTTGGCGACGCGCAGTCTAGCGAGCACCCTCGCGAGCGCCTTGGGCGGCCCCAACTGCTTGCGTTTCGTCATCTCCCCCGTCTGAGCCTCGACATCGTCGGGGCCTTTTCTGCTTCTCGCCCGGCGCCTCGCCGGCGCGGCCGCTGGCCGGGCAGCTTCTCGCCCCCCTGCCCCGCAGGGGGGGGGGGGGGGGCGCCCGCGCCGGCCGCGTGAGCTGCCGCGCTGTCGGCGCCAAGGCCAGCCCCGACGCAGACGACGCCGGCCCCGCCGCCGCCCCCGCCGCCGCCGACGCCGCTGCCGCCACTTGCCCGCCACCCCCGGCATCCTGCGCCACTGGCATGATGGCGACATTTCCGCGGCGGCGCTGACGTTGCTGATGTCTCTCGAGCTCAGGAATTTGACAGAGGGCGCTCGCGCGTGGCCATCTTCGCCCGCGGCCCTCAAGGTACTCGATCGCCCCCGGATGCATATCTCCGCTCGAAATGAGCCCATCATACGTCTGTAGGCGGAGTTCCTGGCTCCGACATCCAAATCCTGACCGCGGGCACCGCGCCGCTGGTTGTCAGTCGTTGGTCTTCCCTGGGTGCTTGGTGGCCCGCCAATGTCGATGTAAATGGCTGGTTAGTCGGCGCCTGATGCCGAACTTCTCACAACTAAGAACCCTGCATCTGCATGCATCATCATCGCCGTGACGGGCATAGGGGCCAGATTCAGGGACGGGGGGGCGTGGACTGGAACCCAAAGGGCTGGGGGGTGGGGGGTCGCTAGCTGCCCGCGCGGCCGCCCTGAGTTGCGATGAGCCACGTCGACCGAACCAGCCCGCTTGCTCAGTCATGTAGCTGAGCGCGGCGGCGGCCCCACTCCTCGACTTTCTCTGACCGCCCCCCCCCCCCGCCCGGCTGCCTTGGACTCCGTGCGTCCTGCGCGAACTGGCGTGGCCATGGTGGCCCACGCGCTGCGAGGCGCCCGTGGTAGTCGGTAGCCTGGATGTCTCTATGTCGCTCAACTCGGATAGCAAAGAGGAGCGCGCCCCAGTCGGTGGCGCGGCATTGGGGCTCCTGGACCTGGATCAATCTGGCACCAATTCAGCCTGCGAGCACGGAGCTGGACTTCGACGGGGGCGGCTCGCCAGAGTTGCGGCGCCCTCTGGGGTGGGATGGGGCGTCTGTGACTATCGCGCCACTCAGCGGCAACCCCGTCGCAATGCACGTCGGCAGTTTTCCGCGATGGAGGTCTGCAGCCCGGCTATCTTAACCAGACTGGGGAGAGAGGCTTCCAGAGAGAGACAACAGGCCCCACAACTCCGCCTGGAAACGCGGCGTACTCACCTACGTTGGGGGCTCGGGGTTGGTACTAGGAACGGCCCGTGGACCCCTGGCCGGCCGATGCAGCCGATAATCCAGCCTCCAATTCATTGCTAAACTTGCCACCGTCTCGATCGAACCAGAAAGCTGAGGAATGTAGCCACGCCAGTAGGAGCACCAACCAACTCTAGCGAACCAGTCTTTACACTCTGTTTACGGGATTGTCGCCCAGGGCCCTGCATGAAACCACGCTCTCATTTTTGCGGGGTGAGCTCGTTGTTTCGCCGGGCTACGTACTCATTGCATAAGACCGACTGCCGACTCAAGGACGCAGCTCCGCTATCAAACGGAGCCGCGGTCAGCCTGCGAAGCGCATCATCAAGGTTGCAGGGGAAGAAGAGGTCGATCTCGAGAGCTGTCCCTTTGGGCGCATGTCAACAGCGCACCAGTCTGCCGCGGGTTCTCCTGCGACTGCATTTCAGCTCGCGCCGCCTCCCCGAAGCAATCGCCAATGTTCCGAACGAGTACTTCCACGGACCAGGGGCGCCCTGGTAAAGCTCCCACTTAAGGTTTGGCGAACAGGTATCCGTCGAGTTCGGTAAAGCGAACAGCTGAAACATTGAATCTCCGCTTCCAGGAATAATGCTTCTCCTTCCGCAAAACCTCCTTGTTGGCTTTGTCGGAAGACTCCCAACTGCTAGGCCCAAGCGCGTTGGCAATGACTTTATGAACATTTACGAACTCAGGTCCGCGTCGATGAACCTTCATCCCAATGCCTGCTTCGCGATGAGACGAGCATTTCGTCCATGGGATGACAATTATTCCTCATCTTTCTGAGTAGGGCCGGCACATGTGGCAACGAATGCTTTGACAAACGGTCAGAGCACGTGTACCAACCTCTTCCGAGACGGTGCTGTTGCTTGCGAAACCTGACAGACCAGGGGAGTTTGCTAAGACCGCCGAACTTTACTCACTAGAAAACTGGGAAGCCTCTCACCACCCTCAAGTGAATCGCTGGCGCCTTTTGCCCCACCCCGCTGAATTGTTTGGACGTTCTCGTAGATAGGAACAATCATCCAACCTACTTTCCAAGCAAGGAGCGACCATTCGTGAACAACTCGCCTACGCCCTACTTTATAAACATATGTCCGGATCTGCTTCAGTTTGTCCATGGCCCAATAAAATACTGTGCCTCGATCGCATATGCGACCAAATCGATAGGCGCCGCCTGCATACCTCCCTGGGAGGAAAGAAGGAGCCATCTATCCTGACTCTCATGGCACATGGGAAGAGCCGATGGGGGGCATCAATATGTTTTCATTTTGCGCCGGCTGGCCCCCGTGCTGAAAGCAGACTGGATAGCCAGGCCACCTCAACCTGCCTGCCCATCTTCAGCGCAACGTTGACGTCATCTGTGATGTCTGCTGTCCGCTGCTTAGGATACTGGCGTCGAACATATCTTAGCTGCTTGGTCGGAGTTCTAAAACCGTCGGAAAAAACATACCCTCGAACGGGGGGAGGCCCAGTCAGATCAAATCGAATGCGTTCGCGCTTTTGCGAAGGTTCCAATATGGCTTTAGCCCTAGCTGGATAATCTGGTGATCTCGAGACCGGTCCTGCGAAATACTTCTCAAAGGTTTCCCAAACCACCCGAATAACATATCGCTTTTCCGCGTTCGTCTGTTCCTTTCGTCGATACTGGTGCCACTGCTCCTGCTCTTCTGTAATCCTGGCCTGCAGATCATTCAGAAATTCTGCCCGTCCTGCCCCTCTCATAAGACTGTCCATCAATGCCTCCCGATTCTATCTGACGTGCCTGGGGACGAAGGGAAGACGGGGAGGAGGAGGAGGAGGAGGAGGTCTGGGTCGCGATTGGCATGGCTTCCGGCTTGGCACAGACAGCCCTCCCAAGCCCCCCCCGCTGGCCTCAACAGGCCTCCTGAGTAGTCTCGGCCGGTCTCAACATCCAAACCCTGGGGTGCGAAGCGCCCCAAGGGCGCCGCTGGAGGAGGCGCCACGGCGCTCAGACCGCCCCCGACTGCCCGGGAGGCCTGTTGAGGCCAGCGGGGACTACCTGGTGGGCTGCCTGTGCGCAACCCGAATCTTTACGGTCCGAACTTTTACTGAGCGTGTCGCGGCGGCGTCTCCTGCGACACGCTATGCTCTGCGAGCGGATAGCGTGTCGCTTCGCTCCGCGGGGCGGGGTGCTGGGAACGGGCTCGGGACATTGACTTTTGGGGAATGGGAAGTGGATAGCATGTCGCGCCGAAGTGCGGTAGGCCAGATCAGGCGGCGCGGGACGATCAGCCAAAGTTCCCGACCGTACCAATCGCATTCGCCGTCGTCGACGTCCTGTTCTGCACCTGCATGTCGATGTCGTCGTCGACGTCGTGCTCCGGCGAGTCGTCTGAGCAATCCTCGCCAGAGCCCTTGCCGTCATCCTGGAGGGGTGCTGGCGCTTGGCTCGGCCACCCCTCCCTCCTTCTTTTTCTTGTTCTCCTCCTCCTCCTCCTCCTCCTCCTCCTCCCGCTCCTCCTGCTCCTGCTCCTGCTCCTGCTCCTCCTGCTCCTCCTGTTCCTCCTCCTCCTCCTCCTCCTCCTCCTCCTCCTCCTCCTCCTCCTCCTCCTCCCCTCCCTCCACCTCATCCTCCTCATCCTCCTCCTCCCTCCTGCTCCTCCTCCTCCGCCTCCTCCGCCTCGTCATCCTCCATGCTGCTACTCCTCCACCCTCCTCACTCCTCTGGCCTTCTCGTACCCCCTCATCACTCCTCCGGCTTCCTCGTCCTCGTCCTCCTCGTCCTCGTCCTCCTCGTTCTGCTCCTCGTCGTTCTCGCTTAATCCGCCCTCGCTGTCCCCCGTCGTCGTCCTAGCCCTCGTGGTCCTCGTCCTCCTCATCGTGGTCACTGTGCTTCATATCCACCCCGCCATCCTTCTCAAGAAGATGCCTCCAGAGTTTGGCACACCAAGCATTTCCTCGTCCTCTTAGTCTTTCTCCCCTTCAGATTACTATTTCTCTTCCTCCCCCTGGGCCCCCTGATGCTCCTCCTGCTGCTCGTCCGTCCCCATTCCACCCACTAATCCTCTTCGAAACTTCCCACACTTACTCCGAGCTGATGTCATTTGATATCGTTTCGCGATCGCCGCGTGGGATTTCCCTCGCGCAGACTGTTAATTATCCAAGAACTCCGACAGCCCCAGGATGGAAACGTTCAAAATCGTGTTGTCGTCGGGAACTTCCCCAGCAACTTCTGGCCCGAAAGGTCGGAGCACTTCTGGCTTCTGGGTGGGAAGCAAACTGCTACAGTGGAGGCCAGTCCAGAAGAAACCTCCCACAAGAAACCCAACCCTGAGACCCCAAGACGTCCATCGATGTTCGGCGTGGGAACGTCACGCTTCCCATCGCAAAACCACCGAAGCCCAAGAAACTCAGGGCACCCTGGAGGCAAGCAGGGTGTTCCTTGGCATGGACCTCCACTGCATCAAAACCGCGGTCTCGCCACTGCACCGCGGCCTGGGCCCCTCCCCTGGGACCGGCCTCTCGTCCCGAATCCTTGTCCGACGGCCCCCGGGGCACCGCCAGGGGCCGGCCCCAGAGGCCGAACACGGCCAACCACCTCCCGTCGCGACCTTTCTCGCGGCGAGAGGAGGAGGAGAAGGAGGAGGAGGAGGAGGAGGAGGAGGAGGACGTGAAGGAGAAGGAAGAGGAGGAGGAGGAGGACAAGGAGCAGGAGGAGTAGGAGGAGGAGGAGGTGAGAAGGAAACTGGGAGGAGGGGGATGGCATGGGGATAGGAGGAGGAGGAGGAGGAGGAGGAGGAGGAGGAGGACCAGTGCAAACCCAAGAGTCACCAACGATGTTGGAATAAACCCTCCCCCCAAGCTCCCTCTTCATGGGCCCTTACAACAGTTCATTTCCACAAAGGGACCTGCCTCGTAGGAAGACAACCGTTTGAAGACCCTGAAGCATGCCAAAACATGATTCTCGGTATGCCACGGATGAGCCTGACTGTTGCGTCTTGACGATCCTGAATCGTGCCAGAACGCCATCCCTGAGACCTCAACTCCGCGAATAATCGTAATTGTTGCCCCCTCAGAATCGTGAACCCTTCCAAAACACATTTCTGATGCGTCGACCATGGGAATCCGAAGAACTCTCGCAAATTGTTAACAAGAATGTGCGCGGCGCTAAAGCGAGAACCACGTTTTACAAAGGAGCCACCCTCAATCCGTGAAGCTCTTTTACAACTTTTTGCAACGAATGTGCGCGGCACTAAGACGAGAGCCACATCGTGAAGAGACATGACTTCAATCCGTGAAACTCTTGCAAATTGTTGAAACGAATGTGCGCGGCGCTAGGGCGAGAGCCACATTCTGAAGACGACCCGCCCTCAAACCGTGAAGCCCTTGCAAGGTTTGAAAACGAATGTGCGCGGCGCTTAGGCGAGAACCACATTTTGAAAACGACCCGCCCTCAATCCGTGAAGCTCTTGCAAATATTAAAAACGAATGCGCGCGGCGCTAAGGCGAGAGCCACATGTTGGAAACGACCCGCCCTCCATTTGTGAAGCTGTTGCCAATGTTTACGCTTCAAGGTCATAATTACATGGTGATGACATGTCAGGCGAAACGCCTGGCTCACCCTAAAAACTGGCCTCGGGGTGCGACAGGGATAAATTATTTATAAGGAGAAGGAATGGAGGTGGGAAAAGCAGAGAGCGGCCGCGGAGGAGGGAGGCCGGGCCACCAAGCGGGCAAGCCGCAGGAAGCATCCCCCCACTCTGGGCGCTCCTCCGCTGGGGGTGCCCAAACGCCACGCCTGCTGTGTCGCTGTCGCAAGAGAGGAGCCTGGGCCACCAAACCAACAAAGAAACCGCCCCAAATATCCCCACAATCTGGGCGCAAAAACGGACCAGTGTCCCCCTCCCTGGCCGCTCCTCCTGGGGGGTGCCTACGCTACGTGCCACTCCTGCCACGTCTGGTATGCGAGGGCCTGCGCGCGAGTGGGTCCGAGAGTGGCCGCCCGTGTGCGAGCGTGGTCCTCAGCGCGAGGCTGAGTGTGAGTGAGCGTGGGCTGAGGCCGCAAGAGAGCCTGAGCATGAGTCTGAGTCTGAGGGAGAGGCTGTGAGGCTGTAACAGCCCCGGCGGCCTGCCGCCCCGGCGTGCCCGGGGGCCCGCCAGAGAGTGCCCCGCGAGCTCATGGAACCGCCCTCGAGGGCGCCGCCGCTCGCCGGGCCGAGCCCGCCGCCTCCCGCGAGCTGGGCGCTGCTTGGGCTCCCATGGGCGGGCCCTCCCAAGGGACGAGGTGGCGCCCAGAAAGGGGCGTCAGCGTCGCCGCCGCCGTGCTCGCCGTCGCCACCGCCGCATTCGTCGACGTCGCCGTCGTCGCCGCCGCCGCCGCGGCCGACGTCGCAGTCGCCGACGCCGCCGACGCCGTGGCGACCGATCCAGACATCTGGCTGCTCCCACTTTTCCGATGCGTGGGCCCCAGAGGTCTGGACCACTTACACTTCCCAAGGGCCGGCTTGTTGTCCTGAGCCGTTTTTGGGCGGCCCCGAGGCCTGGCGAGGACCCCCCCCGCGGCTGAAAACGGCCCAAAACGGGCCGCTTCAATTTTTTTGGAGCGTCGGATCTTTTCTGGAGCGTCGGATCTCTGGGAACCCGGCCCCCCGACGTCGCGAATTTTTCACAACGTTGACCCCCAAACGTCTGGACCCCTTCCCCGGCACCGGCTTATCGTCCTATGGATTGTTTTTTGACGGTCCCGCGGCCCGGCGAGGGGCCCTACAGAGGCCGAAAACAGCGAGAAAGCTCCCGTTGTGATCCTCTCGCCACGCGAGAGGGTCCGGGGACGTCGTCTTCGTCGCCGCCGCCGCCGCCGCGGTCGGCTCGCCGACGCGCCGACGCCGTGGCGGCCGACGTCGGCGGCGTCGCCGACGTCGCGTCGCCGGCTGTGGCCGACGCCCTCCGCCCCACGATAGCTTTGGGTGACCCCAGAGAGGGTTCAGCTGAAAAGGGGTGGTGCAATAGACTTCGGGCAATTGTACTGCAGATGTATTGCGCCGGAGAATTGTATTGTAGTGTATTGCAAGTAGTGCAGCGCACGCGAAAATACAGCAATACATCTGCGCCCCGAAATGCATTGCACGCCCCAAATGTCGTTCACCCCCACAAATCCATTGCACCACGCCCTTGTCGCTGGACTCCCTTCTGGGTCAACCCGAGATAGCGGCGGTCCGCCTCGGGCGGCGCCGCCGAGCCCGGGGAGCCCGGCGCCTCCGCGCCCTCCACAGCGGCGTCTGCCCAGTCCACGACGGTCTCCTCGACCTCCTGCGGGAGCGCGGGAGCGAGGGGCTTGCTAGAGCCAACATGTGCTTGAGAGGAGGAGGAGGAGGAGGAGGAGGAGGAGGAGGAGGAGGAGGAGGAGGAGGAGGAGGAGAGGGAGGAGGAGGAGGAGGGGGAGGAGGGGGGAGGGGGAGGAGGGGGAGGAGGGGGAGCAGAAGGAAGAGGAGGAGGAGAAGGAGGAGGAGGAGGAGGAGGAGGAGGATGAGGAGGGCTCGCATCGTCAAAAACTTCAGGTCGGAAGTTTTGTTCGCCGCTTTCGGCCTCCAGGGGCCCTTACTGGTCCGCGGGACCGTCAAAAAGCGACCATTTTTTTGTTTACATCACGGGAGGTTATTCGCTATTTTCAGCCTCCGGGGGGCCCTTGCAAAAATCGACTCTGGACGAAACACTGGTCCCGGGAAAGGGTCTAGACCTCTGGGGGTCGACGCTGTGAAAAAATCACGACGTCGGGGGTCTGGGAGCGCGGGGCCCTCTCCTCGGCACGATCGATGTGGGTGCAGGAGCGCTGGTTAATTACGATTAAGTCGGGCCTGTCCTCCTACAGGGGGATTGTGGGCGAAAAAGTGGCAACAAATACCCCAAACTGGTCAAACAATCTGCAACAAATCGTCCCCAGATTATTTTTTTTTGCAAGATTTTTGAATCTTCCCCCCCTGTAGAGGGACAGGCCCGACTTAAAATCACGAAGGCCGGCGGCCGCTCCTGCCCCCTTTGCTCAGGGCTCGCTATCGGCGTCGCCGCGGTCGTCGTCCATGGGAGACAGAGGGCCGCCTGCCCAGCTGCGGGCGCTGTCGGTTTTGGACAACGTTTCTGAGGGTGGGCACGGTACCAACTTTTCCCGTACCCATTTCGAGCGTCCAGATCCCCAGCTCGCGTCGTGACAACATCCGGACGGGAGGCTTTTCGACATCCTCAGCCCCTGGGGCCACCACCGGGCCGCGGGGCCGTCAAAAAACGACCCGGGGAAAAAAAACGGTCCCGGGGAAGGGGTCGAGCGAGACCCCTGGGGGAGGACGTCGGGGGTCTGGGCCCCCTGGACTCCCCTGAGGCTCGGGCCTTGCAAGCGTTCCTCGCCGGACGGTTTCTCCCCACAGGTCGATCCGGCTCTCGAAACAGGCACCAGAACGATTGGGCTCTGGTCGTGATTTTTCGCGGTGTTGCGATTTTTGTCGCAACGTCGGATCTCGAGGTCTTCAGGAGCGTGGGCCCCACAGCCTGGGCCTGCATCCGGGCTCCGACGGGGCGCACACCCAGAAATCTGGTGTCTTGATTTGTGCAGTGCGCGGCCCCGGGAAGGCTGGACTTTTTCCACGGGGCTGGTTTTCCATCACGCAGACCGGAAGCCAGAAGTGTTTCAGTCCCCCTTTACGTCGAAGGTCGTGTACTCCCTCAGTACGGCCTGGATGAACAGTTAAGGCCGAGCGCAGGCGACTGAATAGTTTCCAGGCCAGGTGTCTCCGCAGAGAATTGAATATCCCGGCGGAGTTCGTACCCCTCGTCTCCAACGAGACGGTGCTCGACAAGTCTGGCCAGGGTATCTTACACACGGCATCTATTGAAACATCGACTCTTGTGGTTTTGGAAAATTGGAAGAGCCACGCACGACGATTTCAACCGAAAACTCACGTTTCAAAATGACAGACTCCTCTCCGCCACGTCTTTGCTCAAGCAGAGGAGGGTGAGACCGAATAGCGAATTGGCCGCGAACCTGTACAGAAGCAGATCGACATACTTCACATCAGACGCAATCATCATGGAGCACGTGCGCGATCATCAAGACTGGGAAGATTTCGTGCAACGTTTCACTCGGAGCCTGAAGGAAGGTTCAGACGAAGGGCAGATGATGAACAACTTTGTGAATCGGCCCCGGCGCCCTGGAACGAGGGCACCGCGCTGTGAATGCAATGAATATGTTTACTTGCTCTCTTGTTTTCCCTCCCTTTCTCCTGCTCCTCTTGCTCCTGCTCTTGCTCCTGCTCCTGCTCCTGCTCCGCCTCCCTCTCCTCCTCCTTCTCCTCCTTCTCCTCCTCCTCCTCCTTTCGCCCAGTTGAGCAGGCGCAGTGACTGTGAAAGCTTGAACCCCGACTTCCCATGCCCGCGCGCGGGACGGCGTACGGCTTCGTGCGCTGCGCTGTTTTTTGGCAGTCCTGGGGCCTCGCGAGGGCCTCTGGAGGCCGAACACGGCGAAAGCCGGGGCGAAAGGCCCCTGGTGGCTCGCGGCGGAGGCGGGCTCGCAGCGGGGAGCTTCTCGCGCAGCTCTTCGGCCTTCCTCTGGCTGCTCTATAGACGGGTGCATGGGTGCATGGTGGTGGGGCGTCCTCCTCTTCCCCTTTCCTCCTCCTTCTCCCTTCCTCCTCCTCCTCATCCTTCTCCTCCTTCCTCTTTCCTCCTCCTCATCCTTCTCCCTTCCTCCTTCTCCCCCTCCTTCTCCTCCTTCCTCCTTCCTCCTCCTCCTTTTTCCCTTTCCTCATCCTTCCTCCTCCTCCTGGTCCTCCTCCTTCCCCCTTTCCTCCTCCTTTTCCTTTCCTCCTCCTCCTCCTTTCCCTTCTTTTCTCTTCCTCCTTCCTCCTCCTGGTCCTCCTCCTTCCCCCTTTCCTCCTCCTTCTCCCTTCCTCCTCCTCCTCCTCCTCCTCCTCCTCCTCTCCTCCTCCTCCTTCCCCCCGCCTCCTCCCATCATCCCCATCCCGTCATCATCCGCATCATTATCATCCTCTCATCATCTTCTCTCTCCTCATCATCGTCTCATCACCATCACCATCCTCTCCTCATCATCGTCTATCACATCTCATCATCATCCATCCATCCATCTCATCATCATCATCATCATCATCATCATCATCATCATCATCATCATCATCATCATCATCATCATCATCATCATCATCATCATTATCATCATCATCATCATCGTCATCATCCTCATCATCGTCATGATCACCATTCTCATCCTCATCATCGTCATCATCGTCATTCTCATCGCCATCATCAGCATCATTATCATCATCACCTGCTGTGGTAACGGAGCGGGGGCGCTCAGGCTTAGGTAGTGCTGGCCCAGCACCACCACTTGCCAGGGCAGGGGGCGGCTACCCTCTTCATCATCCCCTCCCCCTCTTCTTTACTACTCTAAGCCGCTCGAGGCGCAAAGTTCTTATGCCCCAGCGCCTTACTTTGCTTTGGGGCATAAGAACTGATATGGCTGCTGATGTTCTCTCCGTCGCCATCCCCTTTCCGCCGTCGTCGTCGGTCGTCGTCGTCGTCGTCGGTCGTCGGTCGTCGTCGTCGCCGTCGTCGGGCGTCGTCGCCAATTAATTTCTCGCCCGCGGATCGGCCAAAAAATGGCTGGTATTTCAAAACACTTTTGCGGGGCGAAAAGGTGGCTTGAAATACATGGGTGTTTTTTCAAAAAACAAAAAAAAAGGTGTGAAAGCGAAAGCAAGAAACGAATTTGGAATATGTCGGCCGTCGCGGGCCCCAAACAGCAAGTTGCTGCACCATGGAAGTGCAACCTATGTGGTATATGCTATGTTGTTTGAGCTACGCGGTGGAATCTATGTGGTATAGGATGTATTATGCAAGCTATGCTGTGTGAGTCCTCGTCGCCGTCGTCGTCGGTCGTCGTCGCCGTCGTCGTCGCCGTCGTCGTCGTCGCCCATTACGGAACGGCAGAAAAAAACTGGTATTTCAAGCTACCTTTTGGGGGCGAAAAGGTGGCTTGAAGTACATGGGTGGTCGTCCCCGGCGCTGCCTCCCTGGATCTCCCCTAAACTACTCTCGCGAAAATCCCAAGCTAAAGCTTCAGCACTGGGCTCAAACCAGACCAGCCAGACCAACCAGACTGCAACGCAAAAAAAACTGCAATGCAAAAAAAACTGCTTTTCGGTGGTCGTCCCCGGCGCTGCCTCCCTGGACCTCCCCTAAACCACTCTCGCCCAGATCCCAAGCTAAAGCTTCAGCAGTGGGCTCAAACCGGACCAGCCAGACCAGCCAGACTGCAACGCAAAACAACTGCAATGCAAAAAAACTGCCATGCAAAAAAAATGTGTTTCGGTGGTCGTCCCCGGCGCTGCCTCCCTGGACCTCCCCTAAACCACTCTCGCCCAAATCCTAAGCTAAAGCTTCAGCACAAGGCTCAAACCAGACCAGCCAGACCAGCCAGACCAGCCAGACCAGCCAGACCAGATGCAACTCCGACCAAATGATGCAGCTCCGAGCAACAACTTGTTCTTTGAAAGCTTGGCGCCCCGCCGTGCGCGACAACGGCTAAGAACTTTATAATATGAGGACGGAGGAGGAGCACAAGGAAGAGGAGAACGGCGACGGCGACGGCGACGGCGACGGCGACGGCGACGGCGACGACGACGACGACGACGACGACGGCAACGTCAACGACGTCGACGGCGACGACGACGACGGCGGCGACGGCAACGGCAACGACGACGACGACGACGACGAGGACGACGGCGGCTGCCAGAGGACCCCGGCAAAACCAGCCAAAAGAGATCCGAAGCTCAGAATCCACAGAGCTCCCCCCAAGTCTGCCTGGGTGCCCGCTGCCCGAGGAGACCCCGGCAAAACCAGCTAAAAGGACCCGCATCGAGACACGACGCGACGGCGACGGCGACGGCGACGGCGACGGCGACGGCGACGGCGACGGCGACGACGACGACGACGACGACGACGACGACGACGACGACGGCAACGGCAACGACGACGACGACGACGACGACGACGACGGCGGCGACGGCAACGGCAACGACGACGACGACGAGGACGACGGCGGCTGCCAGAGGACCCCGGCAAAATCAGCCAAAAGAGATTTGAAGTTCAGAATTCACAGAGCTCCCCCCAAGTCTGCCTGGGTGCCCGCTGCCCCGGGGGACCCTGGCAAAACCAGCCAAAAGGACCCGCATCGAGATCAGCGACGGCGACGGCGACGGCGACGGCGACGGCGACGGCGACGGCGACGGCGACGGCGACGACGACGACAAAGACGACGACGACGACGACGATGACGAGGACGA